TACTTTATTTTATTCCTTTGATTGAACATGTTAAATAAAAGCTTATTATTAAAAAAATATTTTTTTTACATTACTTTATTTTCTAATTTTTAGTCCATTTATAAAAGCGTTGTATATTAACCCTCTAGTAGGCAGAACCGCCTCCAGACGGTCGTTAACTAAATACCTTTTTAGTGCACCTATAATAATTTTTTTTCTATATTCGTAAGGCACGATCTTTAGACAAACATCGTACCCTTACGGCGAAGTAAATTTTAATCCGTTATGTCAATCCGTTTTATTTTAATCGGCAGTTGAATTACAGATTTTGAAAACGAGGTTAAAATTAATTATTTCTTGCTATTTAGTAATTTCGTAATTAAAGAAACTTTTTCTTTTGAAAAATTTTTTGATATAAAAAAATTCGGTGGATTTCGTTGTTAAAAGCACCGTATTTTAATATAAGTTTTATAATTATGTCACCATTCGAAATGGAGAAAATTGCTTTCGAACACAGACCGTCTACAGACCGGCTTGCCGACATATAAAACCCCAGTTTTGCATTTTTGACCGTCTGCGGACGGCATTGCCGGTTCGTAGGTCAACATTGTGTAAGAGAAAGCTGAAAATATGTGTAAGTATATCGGCGAGCCCGTCTCCAGACGGTCTTGGGTTTTCTCCCCTGTAGGAAAAAGTTACTGTCACAGATCGAAATGGACATCAGTTTTGGATTTCTCGTGCTAAAATCACCCATTCCTGAATTTTTCAACTCATAAAAAGTTGGCCTACTAGAGGGTTAAATAGTTTTATTTTATTTTATGTACAAAATTTTGCAATAGATATTAAAATAATTCAACTTGCAATGAAAGAGAACAGAAGACTATGCAAGCAAAATGTGGTTTGCTTACGTTTTGTATAAACATACATATGTACATACATACATATAGCAGCAGTTAATTTAATTTAAAGAAATGGCGTGTCGTCCACTTCCGCTGTAGCATGGCATATATTTAGGCGCAATATTAAAGTTCTTCTGGCGGGGAAACTTCTCGAGTCTTCTAATTGTATCTCCTTGATATGATGCCTACAACGAGGTTCATATCTAGACTAGGTTGATATCTAGAATTTGCCATAAATAGCTTTGCTCTGGTTTTACGTTCTTTGGCAAATTACGCCCTGTTAGCCATAAATTTTACTAATTTTTGACCGACTTTGAATCAAGACCCCTGGACCATATAGGGAATTCATTTATATTTTAAATTCCATTGTCATCGTGATTGGAACTATGCTGAAAATTTCAAGTCTCTAACTTGTCGGGAAGTTAGTTAAAATCGATTGGAAATTTCCACGATTTGCGCGGGATGACCAAGTTAAATAAAAGCTTATAAAAAGGTTTTATCTTAACAGCGGTTGTCCCTCGGCAGGCAATGGCAAACCTCCGAGTGTATTTCTGCCATGAAAAGCAGCTTCTCATAAAAATACAATCGCCGTTCGGAGTCGGTGTAAAACTGTAGGTCCCTCCGCTTTGTGTGACAACATCAAGGCGCACGCCAAAAAGCGGAGGAGAAGCTCGGCCAAACACTAACATGTGTGTAAGCGACAATCGATAATCCTATAGCTTTCCGAAAAAAATTTTATGCGACTGGCAAGAGTAACCAAAACTAGCTTTTGTATTAAAATTTTGACAAATAAAGTAAACGTTACGACTCTTTTTTTACATGTAAAGTATATTTTGCGTCCGAACGCTTGAAAAAAAGCACAATTTGTAATTTAACTTTGGACCGTTCCTAATATATTTTTACGTTGTTTTTGTTGTAAGGCTTACAGAACATAAGGTGTACTAAATTTTCGAATACATTTCCAATTCTTTTTAATCGTGTGCTATAATTATGAAGGATTTCTGGAAGGAATGGTTTCTCCGAAAAGAAAGAAAAATTGAAAGTGTAGTTGGAAAGCCGCAAATATCTTGAAATGGAATGGACCAATTAGTCTAATATTTTGGTGGATGA